GTTGGTTTTTGGTGTGTATTTATTGCTTTTTGAGTTATATTTAATGCCTTTTGGCTTGTATTTAACGGTTTTATATAAATATTACTAGCATTGCTTTGACTGTCCATTTTTGATCTTTTTAAAGTCTCGTTTGTTGATTGCGCCCAGGAGCCATCGGGCTCCTCAGCAATGTCGTCCATTTCTGTACTCCTCTTCACTACTTAAACGTTTTTATTTCACTGTACTCTTGAAATTAATTGTTTATATGTTAGTTGATTAAAACGAATTAATTCATTTTCCAGAAAATATCAAAACTTCCGTTACAATTTCAACACAAATTATTTGGTACAAACGAATTCACTCCGAGCGTATATTCACGATGCGAACAGTTAGGCCTCAGTATATCCAGTAAACAAACTTAGCTATTTTTTTTCGCCAAGTTTGGTCCCCATAAAGGCTAGTGTTGCAAGCAACGCTTTTTCGGCAATTAGGGTGTTGTGCAGCTATTTAATGTGGTGAAAATTATTTAAGCACTGGGGAGATTTATTCACATGGAATTGGAGATTGGGCTAATAGATTTATTTTAAATAAATTGTGAATCTGCGAAAATATCTTTTCAGCAGATGGATACACTTTTTACCCTTTTTCCCGAAAATGTACATACAGGCTCGAAAATATGCGAGTAACATTAGGTTTGTATAGTAACAGTAACATTGCAGCGAGAGCGTAAAAGCAAAATAGAGCGTTAAATTGAGAAGAAGAGAAAACTAGTAGAAGAACTTATTGAACACAAAACTAGCAATAACTTGCAAGTGAACAGTTGTTGCACTGCTTTGACAATCTGCTGTAAACATTTTACTATTTATAAATCAGTTTTAAACTCTTTGCTTTACACACAAGCACTAACACTGTCCAGTACATCATTAATATTTTTGTTTCCACTCATTTTACTTTTGTTTGTGCCAAGGCGAATCAATATAAGGTGATTGCAGGAATACAAAAACAAAAATTTACATGTATTTTGTTTTTGCTTTGGTGGCATAAACTGTCAAAACCTGTAAGTGTGAGTAGAAATTCAAACAAAATTTTTCAATTTGATATCAGAAGCCGTGCGGCGAAACACATACACAAAATCAACTGAGCTAGTAACACCACTTTTTATATATTCTTTTGACATTTATTCTTCTTCTTCTTCTGCTAGCTAATTTCTGCTAGTAAAAATTTCACTAGCAAGAATTTGCAGCTCTCTCGTGTTGTTACGCTCTCGATTCAGTGCTCTCTTGCAAATTTTTGGGTTATCATACACTTTTCCAGTAAAAGTTTGCAGGTTCCAGTACAAATTAGTACTGACTATTGGTAACTACACAAAGCTATTCAAATATCGTCGCCTCGATGGAAAATTGCCGGAAGCGTCATTTTGACAATTTGTGGTTTTTGGATATCTTCTTTAGTTTCCGACTAATTGACTAAAATTTTTTCGGTTATTTGGTACAAATTGCGTTAGTATTGCTGTCGTACTAAACTAATCAAGATCTTTTAAATAGAGTTATCTGTTCTTCTTTAGTTTCCGACATATTCAGCTTTATCATGAGTTTCATTTTCTAGAACCGGGTCACTTTTCGTTTGCGTGTGTTCACTACAGGTGGATGAAAAAATTGTTGGCGAAATTTTGTTCGGGCGAAACTCACGATTAGGCTGATTAGTAAAAAGTATGGTTAATTTATAAAAATTGTTATCACATTTTGGCGTATATCACTAAAACTGACTGCAAATTTTTTGACAAATGTCGTATACGACAAAATTTTATTAAACTCATAAATGGTTGACACTAAACTAAAAAAAATAAGATAATTTAAGAATTTCATGAACTAGTACATAGCATTCTCCGACACTTTGGAGAAAATCTGTAGTCGTGTTTCTGAGAAATTGCATTCCAAACTTCAATCGTGAGTTACCGAAAGTAACTTGTGACAATCTTTTATCCAGGGATCTACATAAATTATAATTGCCATTATTTTCGCAGTTGGAGTATATGCCAAACGAGTAACAGGTATATACATACAAGGATACCTAAATTAGCGCGTTGAACTTGTATATTTATCTCTCTCCAACGCATTAATTCTATATACGTAGGTACCAACGCCTGACAAAGTTATGTCTAAATTTAATAATGGCTCTATGACAAAATATTCATGGAATGTATTCGTAGATTTTTATTTACTTCATTTCATACATTAGCATTGATGTTTTGTTTTTCATACATTAGTATTGATGTTTTTTACTAAATACCAGGAATAAATATTTAATAAAAAACTATTTCATTTAAGCTTAACCAACTTTTAGTACCTCGGAGCTAATTTTGGAACGCTTCACGAAATATTTTCATAGACAGTAAATGCAACCCTGGGTGCATCATTAACGAGCTGAAAAACCAAACAAATAAAAAAATTCCATCTGAACCAATATTCCCAAAAATTATAAAGCAAAACAAAAACCATTTTTTCCAATTTATGCACTGTTATTTTTATTATTGCAATACAATTTCGCAGCTCTTCAAACATTTTCCACATTCTGCTTTTAGGGCTAGTAGTTTCCGACCCCATTTGCTCGTTTTTTTTTTCAATTCTGAATTTAGGCTAGGCTTCATGGGAACTTACTGTGGGTGCAAACAGACCACATTTTGTAAACTGAATTGTGATATTTAATTTTATTTTATAATGAAAAATGAATTTAATGTGCAATTTTTTAAGTTTACTAGATGTAAGACAACTTTTAATTTTCTTTATATATTGCATGCTTTAGTTTTAATTGTTTAAGTTAAGTTGTAAAGGTGAAAAAAGGCCTCCTGGGCAACCGAGCACATTAAAAAAAATCGGTAACGCGCGTAAAAGCATACCTCACAAGTGGTGTGGAAAATGCAAGAACAAATATAAATGGAATAATTTTCGAAATGATGAAATGGTTATTGGTATTTTCCATCTCAAAGGGGGTGATTAATTTGAACGTTATTTAAGCTGCCTTTACACGGTCGATTTTTATCGTTTAACCAAAATCTACCCGTGTAAATTGCAATTCAACCGTAAAATGTAAGCGTTTTGGCTAGTCGATATCTTAAGTAAATTTTCCAGTCCACAGAAATCGACCCGTGAAAAGGCAACTTCAGGAATTTTATAATTTTCTTTTTTTTTTTGCTTGAGCGTCTTTTGAAGATGTGCCAAATTATATTGTCGCCTTAAATACAAGACAACAATTTCTTTAAGCCATCTTGTGCAGCAATTTGTTGATCTTATCCTCACGGCTACCGAAATCACCAACCTCAACGTAGTGATTAGCCTTCTTGCGCCAGCCTCGGGTTGATGTGTTGAGCTTGAATAGCAACAGGAAGTTGGGGGCTTTCTTGAAGTGAAGTGAATCAACGCGCTTCGCGAAATTTGCGTTCGATCACAAAGCAGAGATTGGGACACGCTTGACCATTCCACGTTTGTACATCAATTCACAAACTGATTTAAGATTTGGATAACCCCATATAGGGGTTCGGCATACGTAGCATATTAATGGTTGCCTTGCTCAATTTGATGAACACACCGTTTTAATGTGGCGAAGACAGAACTGTAAAACTACGCACTTGTTGTGCAACTTTGTTGATACCGCGGATGCGGATCACAAAAGCCAATTTGGATTTTTCAGGCCCGTCGAATTGGCCGCATTTCTTTGCCACACAGCGTTACTCCATCTCACGGCGTCCATCACGGAGTTTTCTTGTTTGATATTTCTCAGCACGCACCAAGTTTTCACATTTACGGAGTGCAATCACAGCAGAGCGCTTTAGTTTACGTTTGATCAGGGTAGCAATTTGCTGACCTGCTCTTGCTGAACTGCAGCTTCGGCTCGGGGACAGGAGGCAGCTTCCTGGAAGGTTGTCTGCCCTTTGCTTGCGGTTTCTTACCGGCCCAAGATGGCAGTCATCTTAACTTGTTACTTAGCACGTTGAAAAGGCGAAAAAAAGTTCGCCAAATGTTTGGAGCACATCGTAAATGAGCCACTCGATTTATAACATTTCTATAAACAATTTAATTAAATACTTTTATACATAGATATGCTGCAACCATGCACTTACTTTCCCAAATTCCATCCTGTTTATCGGCATAATTTTCCAAATATGCCAGCTACTTCATTACTAATTACTAAATTTTCCAACTGCGCCTTCTTTGTTGGCTCGACATATCCTAAAAAGACAAATTTACATTAAACAATAGAAATCGCAAAAATTAGCAAATAAAATACTTGCTTTGTTTTTTTTTTTTTTGTGACTTTGGAATCCTTTCCTTCCGAAGGTGATGATGGCAGGGCTTGATTGCTACCCTTACAGTGCCAGATTATTCACGGGTGTGTTGTATTTTACAGCAATCGATGTGATTTATATTGGTTGAGTTTGGAATTTCGTTGTCCTTAGCAGCTGTGGTAGGGTGGAGGTAGTCGTTGACAAGGAGAAATGTATAATTTTATGAGCATTCTTAATCGATAACGATAGATTAGACAAAATGATATGAGATGTATTAGTACATTTGAGTGAATGTTTATGATTGTTGTACATTTTGATGTTGTTCATTGATTGACATGTATATATATGAGAGTAAATGATATTTACATTGATTACATAATATTGTATTCTTTTATTTTTTTTTTTTTTTTGGCACAGCCTATTTTAAGTCATGACTAGTACATTGTTATGTATTATATGGGTACTTCTTAAAAATAGATCACATTGTTATGAATGCTAATTATTAGTTTTCTGAAACCATCTAGTATTACATGGATGGGTGCTTTTGGCTACATATATATATGTTTCTAAGCGATTTTTACAATGGTTAGACGCATTGTAATTTAGTTCAGTCTTAGGATTGCAAATTTGTACTATACTTTTCAATTCTTTTTTTTTTTTTCCTATTTTTATTAATTAACAATTAATATTGTTTGAACGTCTCTGAACTCTCTACCTCATATTCTTTTTTTTTTTTTTTGACTTTTAAAGCGCTTTGTCATGTTTGGCTTTGTAAATAAACGAAATAAGTTCTTGAAAATGTTGTGGATTTTTTGTCGTAAGGACTTCGTCTATGTTATTAAATTTTTTAAAAATGTGAAAATCGTCTCTCAGTTGCCTGTATTTGGAGCATTCAAAGATTGCGTGATTTGGTGTATCTATGATGTTACAACTATTACACATGTTTGAAATGTGGCTATGCATCAGGTGTAAAAAGGATTTATTGTACGTGTATCCAGTCATTAGTCTGTTGATGAGTTTGATATCGTAGGGTCTGAGTCCATATTTTTCGGTCTTAAACCACGGTTTCCGTGCAGTAGCCGTAATGCTGTCGATTAGATCTCGGTCCCAGTTGATGCAGTTGTTTTTAACCTCTTGTATAGTTTCCTTCCATAACATACACCCTATTTTCCTAATGGTTTCCTGGGGTGTTAAATCAACAGTAAGACCTTTGCCATGTACTAGTGCTGTTTTGGCTGCTATATCTGCCTTTTCATTGACATTTATACCTACATGACTTGGTACCCAGTTAATGATTAGTTTATCTATTTCAGAGTTACTAACCTGGTTATGGATTTCGGCTATTAGAAAGTTTTGGGACTGCTTGTGAGTAATCATTTTGACTGCTGCCAAACTATCTGAGAAAATTAAAATTTTTTTCCATGTATTTTTCTTGGCCAGTTCTATTGCTTGAAGAATAGCTACAATTTCTCCACTAGTGGAGGTGAGATTGTCGTTGATGTTGTATAGGTAGGAAACATTATTGTTAAAGTCATAAACTGCACAGCCGATCTTACCTTCACCAACAGATGCATCAGTGGATATCACTCTAAAACCGTCTTTTTGTGCTAAAGCCTTTTTTTCCGCATATATAGCCTGCAGCTGTATGTGAGAGTAGTTGTTTTTTGACCTTTTTAACTCTGAACCCCTAGTTTCTATTTTGAGGCTGTTTTTGTACTTTACATTGGTGTTGATTTTATTAAAGATTCCCCTAAATTTGGTGTAGGTATGACTGTAGCTAGAGTTTACCTTTTGACCATTAAGCAGTTCCGCTCTTAATCTAGGATTTAGAAACCATTGTTTGGTGAGTTCTTTTGCTGTTAGCCATTCTGCTCTTTTCAATGGAGTGAGTTCACACGCAATCGCATATCTGGCCAGTGTAGGAGTATTTGGAGGCAGTCCAAGGCAGCGCCTTAGAGGTTCATTCACTATTGTTTGCAGTTGTTTGTTATATCCCTTCGATGCATTGGCGTAACTGGTATTCGCGTATTCAATTTTTGATCTTACAAATACTTTAAAGAGATTCAAGGCTATATTCGGTACTAACCCTGCTTTTATCGTCGTTAATTTGGCAAGTAGATTTTTGCCTGAAGTAGTGTCTTTTTTGATCTTGCCTATATGTTCTTTAATCGTGGAATTTGCGTCTATTGTCCTACCTAACCATTTGAGATTGTGTACTTGTTCTATTTTGTGGCCTCCTACCTCTATGCAATATCTGTTTCTTTTTCCTGCCGTCATAAGCATAAATTTCGTCTTACTGAGGTTTAGTGTTAGGTGTAGAGAGTTTAAAATCGCCTGAATTTCCTCAATTTTGGAAGCTAGTTTTATAATGGCTGTTTTTTCATCTTTATTGTGCACCACAATCGCCAGGTCATCTGCAAACTGGAAAAGCTGAGTTTTCTCTTCGTTGATGTTGTGAAGTTTAGCAGTATATATATTGAATAGTGTTGGTGAAAGGCAACTTCCTTGCGGCAGTCCGTTGTTTACTTCTATTGTATGTTTTCCCAAACTAAGTTGCCGTGATGCGAAAAAGTTGTAAATCCAATCTGCAATTTTTGTGTTAACGTTGTGGTCTACCAATGTTTGATGCAGAGTTGTGAGATCAACGCAGTTGTATGCATCCGCTATATCCAGGAGGCAAACAACCACTTTTTCCTTGTTGTGTTTGCTGGTGGCCACTAGATGTAACATCTCATTCAGACACATTGTTGTAGATCGTGTTTTTCGGTAAGCAAAGCTTTTTGGAGGGATGATGTTTTTTTGTTCGACTTCTTCTGCTAAGGCGTCCTTGATGAGCAAGTTGAGGCTTTTTGCAACCACAGATATCAGTGATATGGGCCGAAAATTGCGAAAATCTTCTAGGTCACTGTTCCCTTTTGGTATTGGTACTATTTTTATTTTCCTCCAAGTGTCTGGAACTTCATTTTTGTTAAATTGGTTTTCTAGGGCTTTCAGGAATTCTTGTAGAGTTTCTACTGATAAGTTTTTCAATATTTGGAACGTGATGTTGTCGTGTCCTCCTGCTGTCGACTTTTTCTTGTTTAATTTAGGCAAAAAGTTTTCTACAGTGAAATTTAAATTTGTCACGTTCGTCGATTCTTGACTGTCTGTGCCTGCTGTGTGTCTAGTTCGTGTGGTGGAGCCTGTTCTTACCTGGTTTTTAATGTGTTCCAAATATTTTAAGTTGTCCTCAGAGGCCCATTCTTGGTTTGTATATTTTCTTCCTTTGACGTTGTTTATGAAGTTCCAGGCAGCTTTGGTGTTCGGTTCGCAATTTAGTTCTTCCACTCTTCTCTTGTAGCTGCTGCTCTTTGCCTCTTTTACTGCCTTTTTCCATTCTGCAGTCGCTAATCTGGACGCCTCCAGGTCCTCTATATTATTTGTAAGGTTCGCTTTTTTCCTGTTGGCCGTATGTAGTCTGAATAATTTGTTTAGGTCTTCATTCCACCATGCCCTGGGCTGCCATCTTTTTATGTTTAAATCTATGCTTACGCTTTCCCTG